GTTTTTCATACTATAGTAATTGTTAGTCCATTATTTATACACTAAATTGATGACAGATTTTTCCCTTATTGGCCGATCATGACAAGGAGCACATGGCGGGTGTGACCGGTCGGCAGGGGATTCTCACTCCTGCATGGCACCTGATCTCACCCTTGATGTTCTGGAGGTCTGTTCGCTCTGCTCCTGATTTATATTGTTTATTGGACTTTTGAGCTTGAATACTGTTCGTTATCTCCATATATGTCATATCAACATGCAAGATAATTATATCAACATTTATTTTGTTCTTTTATGTTAAGATGCGAAATATTTATGTTGGCATGCAACTTATCTTGCATGTTGACATCGACATCTTGTATGTTAACATATAACTTGCATATTGACATAAATAAGTCACATGATGACATAAATAAGTCGCATGTTAACATAACTATCTTGCGTGTTGACATAAATATACAGCTGTCTATATAATTATGTTGCATGTTAACATCGATAAGCCGCATGTCTACATAATTCAATTTACAAATGAGACCAAGTTTTCATTTGAGTTTTCTCAATAATGCCCTATAAAAAATTAAAAATTTGACTGAATAGATTTTTCAGGGGTGAAAAAATTGTAGATTAATTTCTTCCCAATATAAATCACATAGTCCAGTAACGAAGCACAGTCAGTGTGTATCTGAATTTGAAGATGCTTGGAAGACATAGTTGTCTCGACAGACTTCATAATTGGACATTTATACCTGTATCATCTGCAGAAATTATAATGGATAGGAAAACCTTTCTAGTGGTCATAGTAATGGTGTTAGGGGCACTTATATGTGAAAGCCTGGATTTAAGGGTAGGATGGTTGTCGACTTCTTCAAGGACAACTTATCTGTGCTTTGAAATAGCCTGTTATTTTCGTTGAATTAAATGTTGAGCTAAATATTTATATCAGCTTCCATACACTGTTCTAGTGTGAGTAATTCGTCAAATGTAAAATTCAGCACTTCTTGTAAAAGCCCACTAGTATATACTGTCAATTAGTAATTCCAGTATTTTTTTTAACTGTGAGTAGAATATTTTTTTAACAATGGTAATTTTGTAAATGAACAATCATAAAAATGTAACTTTAAATTTTCATTAAATCTTAATGAAAATTATCACATAACTACCCCCACACCTAGTTTTGATTAGGCCATGCAAAGTTAATTAATTGGTTCTCAGGCCTTTTTTCAAAAAATATGATGAGGGAGGGAGGCATTTTTTTCCTTTTTTATTGCCCCCAAAACATTGTACAAAACCTCAAAAAATGATGAGGGAGGTGATTTGGTGTTTATATTTTATTGATTTAGCAATAAAAAGGGTCAATGAGGCACCCTTGGAAGAGATGAGGGAGGGCCTGAGAACCAAGAAATTAATTTTTTTTTGCCTTAATAATATATGCATAGGAATTCTTTACATGAAGAAGGGATACATGTTAAATACTTCAATAAATGTGCTGCTATAATGAAAATAACAGATGACATTGATACTTGATTATCATGGGCTTTTGATTCATTAGATTTAACAAAAAAAAGTAAAATTAATTAATTTTATTTTAATTTTGGAATGAAAAAGTGGGAGGCTATGCCCTGTGTCAAAAATATTTAAAATTTTGCATTCAAAATACTGTAAATCACTTTTTATTCGCGAGAACTATATTTTCGCGTAATTACGCGAGTCTGTCTGCTCGCGAAAATTTTATTCTCGCATATATTTGTATTATTAATATTTATATAAAACAGAAACCACAACTCGCGAAAATTTTGTCTCGCTTATAAATACCACATAGTTAAGTCGCGAAAATAAGGTGTCGCGAAAATATAGTGATCTACAGTACATTAAAATATTGTAGTGATCCTCCCAATATTTACCTCAGCAATTAAAAATGTAGCAACACTTTATACCTTTATCATATTTCAAAGAAAGTACAGTATTACTAATTGCATACTTTATTTCAGATATTTTTTATTGATAAATGGTTATATGACATAATACTATTTAATCAACATCCTCCGGTTCTTGCTTGATTATCACATCTAATGTCCACGATGTAGGGACAGGTTTATCTGTATTTATTTTACCATCAAGTTTTGTTTCTGAAGTCCCTTGTTGAACAGATGTTTGTAGACTTACAGAGGATTTGTTAACACTTTGTTCTCCCTTTGCACAGTTACTGTTATTTACAACTTTGTCTTTATTATTATGAGATTCTGCAGCGGGTAGATGAACAGTGCTATCTTTGGTTTCCTCAATATGGCCAGTAGTGGAATTAATAGCAGTATTTTCACTTGATTGCGTGGATTTGTGATTACTTTCTTTGGTAGATGGCGCTCCATTTTGACTTGAATCCTGGGATCTTCCTCTTTGCAGTGCTGGGAGACTGACTGAATTAAATGCACTCAGAGGAGGGAGTGTGGCAAGTTTTACTCCCTCCTCCTCTGTCTCCATTTCCACATGGAGTTCATTCATAAGCTGCGAAAGTTTCTCTGCCTTGCGTAGTTCATTTTGGTGTATAATTGTATATAAATGTTCTGTCAATTGTTCCTTCAAATCTGATTTCTTCTGCAGATCCATCTTTGCCTCGATGAATTCTCTTTCTGCCCTATCATATCGACGCCTGTAAAATAATCAATTCATTTCAGAATAATACAGTGTACAGAACAATATTTTAAGTTTATGATAGTTTAGATTTAATTATTTTTTATAGAGAGTTGAAGTCTTTTACAATCTTTTGACTGTGCACTAGTTCCTGGTAGAAAATGCAAAATGTGATTTTTTAAAATTTCATTGGTTGAGATGCTGTTCAAGGCAAGGTAGATAATTTTTTGGTGATTTTTTTTTTGTATGACTAAACAATTTTTCAAGGTTATCAATTTTAATTCATTCAAAGTAAAAAAACCTGCAAAGTTGCATCTGTTGTAAACCCTGTAGCACAACAAAGACAGCAATTTAAAATTATGTCCCTTACTGAGCCTCCATGTAATCTTTGCTGGCTGATTCTATCCGACTCCGGATCAGTGTAACATCTGCAGATAGACGATTGTCCAGCAACTGAACTTCTTTCTGGATATGGGACAACTTCTGGGCCTCTTCACGTGCTTTCTTCTGTCTACAAACAAAAAGATTTCTAAAGTAATTCTGATTTAAAGATATCAAGGGAAGTAAACTATAATTTATATTTTGCTTCAAACTGAAGCACAAAATTGTCTGTAAGACCAGACATGTTTCTGCTGAAAAGCATTGAATAACTTTCTGTGAGATTTAGGATCAATTGAATTTTTTAAAAATTGTCACCTTTCTGTCAAGGTTTTGGAAAGCAGAGCTTTTCGTTGTTTGTTGGCCTCCTCTATCATCTTCTGTTGATCACGAAACTTGTCCAGATTATTCATCTCACGCCTGTAAATTCAAGGAAAACGACAAGATATTTGACTAGAAGTACATTTGAGTCATTAATCTGAATGATTCCCAGGCAAATTGTTGAAATAGTTAAAACTGAAATATAAATGTTAATTCTGTTTGAAAAATATTCCTCTGTTGTAATGTATGAATTAAAGAATAAGGCTCTATTTTACATGTATTAACTAAGGATTCATTTTGTATTTCTTTCTCCATTATCCTTCAACTTCCCAAAGGATATGAGCTAAAATAAGCTGTGTAGGCTTGGTCAAATCCCTCTTTATCAATCCAATGGAGTGGATCAAATGATTTTAATTCTAATGCAGACCGGGTTCAGGTACACGCTCTGTATAACACTTAGGACTATGAAGACAGATAGACTCACTCTGTGGCTGGTTACTTACGACAGTGCCTCTGTGTCGTCAATCTCAGTTATCTCCTCCTTGATCTCTATAGGATCCTCTGGCTGCTGAGATGGCACCTGAGTCTGTTTTGGAATTTTGTTACCACCTGTATATACAGACATATATAGTTACATGTATACAATTTATATATGATACGCACTATATTGTATAACATTTTTGAAGAAGTTTTCCCATTATATCACAAATATAATATTTTTATCCATATGCCCTGAAAAACTGCTTAATCACGTCGGATATAGTTATATTTCACCAGACACAGTTATATTGCCCTCCCGAACACAGTTATGTTCCCTCGTGTGCAATCATTCTGCATATTAAATACGTCGGGTTTGAAATTCACAGAGGCAGTTGCTAAGCAAATGTAAACAGTTCTGCGAAAATTAAAAAGTCGGGACAACGTCTGCGATTTGTTTATTTGAAATCGGAGGAATTAGATAATTTGAGGAGAAAAAAATCCTTCAATACAACAAAGATTATCAACGCAAGTGTCAGTGTACTGAAAACATTCTGCCATGAAACAGGACGGGATATTTCGGAATTATATTCAACGTACATATGTACATAGTATTCAATAAATATGTTCGATAATCGATTAGGGTTCAATGTTTAAAAATGTTATATACCATATATTACATGGCTTAATTCTCGGGCAGCAATACCAGTATATTTGCCTTTGGCATCGGGCGACATAACACTCCAGGGCTTTCCTGTCACCTTGGGGCAAATATTCTGGTATGCTGCCCTCTAAGCCATGTAATATATGTATAATAGATAAATTAACAATTAGTACATGTTATCTTATTGATACAATAACAAATCTTTATCATGCTGTTGAACTTCTTACTATTTTTCTGTAGATTAATACGTGACTGTTACTGTTGTCAATGATTGGGAATGTTAACTTACCCAACAGGAATTCTCATATACCTCTCATTTTTGGGGTAAGAATTTTATTTTATTTGGTTTTCATTTGTTTGTTGTTTCTTTCATATTAGCAATCAAGATAAATCTATTAATCTAGTATACTAGCACCAGGAACCTTCACACAAAATACACTGTAACACGTGTGATGTCCCTGCTAATACTTTGGATGTTTATGCAATTTAATTTGCATAAAGTAAGAGTAATACAATTTTTATAATGATAAAAAGTTAGGATGTTTGAAATGATTTACCCGCAGGGCTACTCTGAATTGCTGCATCCTTCTGCATTCTGGCTCTGGATGCTGATAAAATGTTTGGAACTCTCCGTTCGGGTAGTGCTTCATAGCGTGATTCTGGGGCCGCTGCCATTAAAAAATAATAATATAAGTAAGGACAAATATACTGAAATAAGTATCACAAGCTCTATTTTTCTCTTCTATAACGATAGTAACATTACAGCACGTCTATTATATTGTTGGTCATATCGAGTAAATTCGAGCAAAATACATGTAGTTTTATGCATAAAAGTAAAAATTCATAAAAGCAGACCATGTAAAAATTTGAATTATAAAAAAGCAACCTGGTGACAACTTGCTTGTGGGCTTCTCTTTCAGTTTTCTCAATTCAGCATCTGAGAACCCAGCCCAACCCGACATCGTTTACACGTAACCTTTTTTTCTCTTTTCATGCACATTCCTTTCATTTTATAAATAGTCTTACAAACGCTTGTCTCCGCGATGCTACAGCAACCGTTTACAAGTTTATATTTGAAGTAGACATTACTTTTCGCAGAAGATTTTAAAATTGTTGCTGTCGTATTGTGATTAACATTTCATTATTTGATACCACTACACTTATAGTACGCTGATAATGTTTTAATTTAAAGAAATATGGAATCTGAGTTGGTGTGCAATCATAAAAAGTGCAGAAAACGAGTAGAGGCCTTTGCATGGGTTTGTTTATTTAATTAAATTATCAATATTGGGCTATTTTATCGATTGTTTATCTGTTTATGACATTAATTTGACCAAATCTCGAATGCAAAAATAAATAAATAAATAAATAAATAAATCTCAAACATCATTGAAAATATTTGAGTATAAATGAAAATTGAAGTATGATAGCACTAATGACTTGGCAATTTGTAACTTGAAAAAATAGATCTGCTAAACATTGAGGGGAGATGGGATTGTTTATATAAAAAAAAATATGAAATTATTGACATCTATTTCAGCTAACTGCAAAAGAGTTTAATGTTTATTGATAAATAAATAATCTGACTTTTTTTCTCTTTTAGATAACTTCCTGTTCACGTATCCTTCATCTCTGCACTAATTGTAAAGTTTGTAAACTATAAGATAAGCTTCATTTAGGACTTGTAAATGTTTCAAATTTGACAGGTGAAAATACTTTCAGTGGTATGGCCCTAATATAATACCTACTAGTACCTCTAATTAAATTCTCAAGTAAATCTTAACAGTCCGGAAGACATATTCTGTGATGAAGATGGAGTCAGAGAGTTTAAAAATAACAATATTTGCCCAGCTTGTAAGTATTTTAAAATAACTTTTACGGCTTATAAACACCTTTTTAATATATCATATGTCATATACTCATATGAATATTGAATAAATAAATGAAATACTATTGTTTTTTGAAATATAAGCTTATAGTGCAGGCATACAAATGTTCCTTCATATAATCTGAAGAAACTTTATCCTACTGCAGTTTTGACAATACCCTATTGTAATTTACAAAATGCAAAAAAAAAAAATATGACAGAAAGGATTGGTTTCCTATATTTATTTAGGTGTTTTGCTTTTGCACATCATTTGCTATCTGTCTTTTTTTATATAGGTTCCACAGACCTGTCTGACAAACTTGACATTATCAGGATTGAAGTAAACCCGACTGAGAAATACAAGTCTGTAAGTCTAAATTCAGTGGACATTGGCTTCTGATACTTAAACTAAATAATGTGCAAAAGATTACCTCATATTGCAGATCATAATCAATGCAATTTTTCACTGTATGTAGAATAACACATGTATTACTAATACAGGAAAATTGTGACAATATCTTGTCCTAAAACTTAAGGCTTAGTCTTAAAATAGAGATCAAACATATACATGTATTTTGATGAGATATTGGGTATGTTCTATATTCTACATGTACAGTTGCATATTTTAGATGGTGCTAGCAGGAAAGCGACCTGAGATAATAATGGAGATCTGTACCAGAGCTCTGTCATTTTGGTCCTACCAGGTAATGTGTTTACATGTTTTAATGGTGAACAAAATTTCCCCCAATAGCTGTTCTCTAACTGTTTAATTATTACAGAACACTTGAACATATAAATTTGATATTCTCTTCAGTAACTTATAAATATCTTGAATGTATATATGAATATGTATTCCATAAGCCTTCTCACTGTGAGCAGGATTACTGCAGGTATCTGTTACAATACAGAGTATTATAGGTGGTATAATACATAAATATTGCATGTAGATGAGTATAACATTCTGCGCAGTCAACATTTTTTTTTTGTATCACCTGTCGTCAAACAATGTTGACTGTTGCTACGCTGGAGGGCGTGGCTTCATTATTCAATTGGTAAAATGTTTCTTGACAAATCAGATTCAACCAATTAATTTACATGAAAGTATAATATAATAGTCATAGACTTCAGAACTGGATGCCCCCCCCACTCTTTTATTTCAAAGGTAGACATAATATAAGAATTGAAGATTGGGGTTTTTAGCCACCCCACTTTCAATTTGCTTCTGATCGACACTCATGATAGTCAATGACATTTTTCACTTTTCATAGTCAGTCAGTATGTATCAATTAATGTTAAGCATGTGATATATTTAAGACTAGTGAACATTATTTTGTTCACTATTACTAACTTCATTTGAATTTCAGATACACCAAGAAAGAGTCTACCAAGAGTATGTAGGATCTAAAGCCAAAGAAAGGGCAGCCCAGTTAGAGCAGTATTATGAACAAGTCATTTCTCAGACTTCAGCAGAACTGAACTGTATCCTTAGCATGTTGCAATCAAAAGAGCAAAGGAGAGCATGAGAGAGTGAGAAAGTTAGCAAGAGAGAGAGGTATAACAGAACACAATACTTACGACAAAGATACTTTGCTTTTGGTGCTTCTGGTTCTGGGCCCAGGTCCAGGTACTCCCTTCGTCGCTTTAGGATCTTTGATACTGTTGTTCTGTCAATTCCAAACATCTGAGCAATCTCACCCTGTGTCATTCTAGGAATCTGATTGGCTACCTTAGCAATTTGAACTTTGACCGAGTTAGGGATCACGGTCCGTGTTCTTCTTAGTCCCATATCTTCCAGAACCATTGTGGCCCCAGGGCTGGTCACGTTAGGGGGGATGGTAGTCACGATAGCAGTGCTGGTGTTTTGGGGGGATGATGAGGGCTGGACCATTGAGGGGGACTGTTGGACAGAGAGGATGGGGGCGATCTTATACAGGAAGGTGGGGAAGGCTTCCCCTGAGGATTTGGGGGGTGTCTTGTTAGCCATGACTCTGACCGCAGGATCAGATTGCATCTGCTCTAGTAGCGTCCTCAGTGTCTTAGTAGCACTGCCTTCCATGCCCCAGTCATTGCCTATAGACAAGTTTATATAAGTGATTTTTGATTTAAATAGAAATATTGTATTGAATTAATTCTTGATATTAATATTTTAGTTTATATAAATGTTAGATATTGTATCTTTTCAAAGGTAAAATAATTCAATTAACACTGACATGTAAACATTAAATTTTATTGAAGTATATTATGTATTGTTCAATTTACTCAATAATCAAAGTAGTAATATAAATTTAAATGCTATTGTCCCCTTTAAAAATATTTGTTGTTTTAAACATAACATTCATTCAAACACTGAATCTCAGTTATCTTCCCCCTATACTCAAAGGCTAAAAAAGTCATCATAAAAACATTTTAATTGTAACTAAATACAAAAATAAAACCTTTAATCATGTTAATTAATAAGATACCTTACATTTATAACAGAGATGCATGTTTAATTGTTAACAAGTATTTAAAAAAAAACACAAATAAAAACAATTATTTGTACTCTTGGTATTAATTAAAAATAAAATCCCCATCCATAAAAATGACATATAAACATTACACATGTGTACAGAACACACAAAGAACACCTGTTTATTGTCCTGCCAAAAAATCAATAGCACAAGACTTACCTGAACTTGAGGCGTATATATTTCACACAGGTGATGTAACCTTAACACACTTGTTATAAGTTCGTCACATTCAGTAAATGAATTTATGAAATAAAAATCTCTGTTGTTAAATTAATGGTTTAGAGACTGGAAAATGTATACAAGATACACGCTTGACTCTGTGGTCACACAGGTTGTTCTACAAGCACAAGGCTTACAGCGATAATGTGTGCCGAACTGAGGCTTTGCAGGGGTGTGACATTTTAATTAACGTCAAGTAACTATTAAATTCGTGAGTTAAAATTCTAAACAACGATCTTAAAAGTACTTATAAATACATAGTAATACACATATTTAATGACCACTATAAGCCCATTAAGCCTTTGCTAATCAAAGGCAATCTGTTTAATTTTCCCTGTATTGCGCCCCTGAATTAGCACTGAGTCACATGGTCTGTCAGCTATGGGAAATGTGATAAGTTGACAAGCTGAAAGCTCTGTGTACATTGCACTGTGGCAGCGAGAGGTCGATGGGCTAAATATAGATCTTAACACAATGTTTATCCTGCCTTGTAATTCAGCGTTTAAAGCCCAGGGGCTGACAGATAGATTATCACAAGTACCTATGTTGGACAGACGACAAGATAACAGGTGCAGACGACAGAACGAACTTGTGACGATAAAGACGAGACAATCACATAGCTCCCAAAATCAATATCGTTAATATGCATAACTTCTATCGATTAAGTACATGTATGCAATTCAACAAACGTTTGTACATTGTTGAAGTGATATGTGATTTTCCGCAAAACAGTTCGAAACTTTTTTCTCCTTTATTTGTTTTTCTTAACCTCCGACACAGCGCTAAAATTGCAACTTACAGGTAAGCCCATTAAAAGGCAGGGAGAATTTATATAATGAATAATAGGGCAGGTAAGTTTTACATACCTCGAATAAGGTGCATATATACCCATTTATACTTGCATAAAAATATTTTAAACAATGAAGAAAAGTGATTTTTTTTATACATGAAAATATTAACTGCTTTAAGAAGATGGAAGAGGCATTGCCCATAATGCCTTTGGAAAAAGAAAATAATTATTATGATCGGTAAATAAATATATAAAGAAACCTATGTTTTTATTTGTATAATCTCTGTCAAACATCAGCATTTAGGTCATTTTGAGCTGCATGGCTTCTGATGTGTCCGATTTGAACTAAACTTTAACCTTTAATTCCGGTCAATCACCCTGCTTTTCTCGATTTTATTTTAGTCACCTGTCTGCTTTTTCGCGATTGTTGTGAAATTTTGTTTTGATATTCCACGCTTATCCAATAGCCTCGGATATCCAGCACTAGGTCACTGTCTACTGCTGATTTCCGGTATAATGACATGATTGACTACGAGCGTTCTTATGTCAGTGGTAGTATGAACAAATGAATGAACTCACAGTGGGATAAAATTGGCGTAATCTGGTCGGTGATGGCTATAATTTTTTGAAAGTGACTTGTCAAGGAAATTTTTGCGATGAACCAATGTTTAAAAAACGATGCCCGCAGAGAAAGCCAAAATCTTAAATAAATGAATGTCGATGTTTCTTACCATGATTGCAGCATAGAAAAAGTAGGTTAAGTCACAATCACAACTCCCAGACTGATGGAAGAGTTGCATGTAAAAATATATTCTCGGAAAAGAAGTATGATTTGTTGGGGAAAGCAGGTTTTTTTTCGCGGGAAAGTAGAGCCTGAGTCTAATCAGCGAAAAAGAGAAACAGGGTTCTGTTCCTTTCGTTGTCATAACACACCCGGCTGTGATTTAGACTTTGCAGCTTTTGTCTCGACAGTTAGCACAGTAAGTGAAATCGGCTTTCGGAACGCTAATTTTAATTGGTTCGTACACATATATATCAACTGTTTCACTTTTTTCCCACTTGAGTTCCCCTTGTCCTTGATTTGACCTTGCTTTTAGGAATCAACAGCTGAACATTTCTGTCAAATGACAATGCGGACTCAAACCACCATCAACGCTAGACAAGACATGATTTTCTATTCATTAATACTACTCAGTATATATGTACTAGTAGTATTTGTCTATCTTCAGCTATTTTTACCTTCTCACAAGATGTGGGATTTTTTTTTTGCTTTAATGATTATTTAATTTATATTTGATGTATGCATGTAAAACTTGTTTAAAGAGTTTACAGAATTAAATTGTGATGGAAATATACTGACATTCAGGTGACTTACAATATCTGTGAGCAGATATATGTTATTTTAAGCAATTGATGACAATTAATGATGATTTTGCAACAGAAAAAAAAACGCAAAAAAGAAAAGAAAATTTTAGGATGAAACGAAAAGTATTCGAGAAAAACAGTCCTTGAAACAATACAAATTTGGAACTGAGCAAACACGAACTTCCAAAATAATGAAAATATCAGAGGTGGGATCAGGTACCATGGAGGAGCGAGCACCCCTTGCAGACCGGTCACGACCGCTATGTGCTCCTTGTCTTGATCGTGGGAATAATGGGAAAATATGTTGACAATTCAGTGTGCAAATAATGGTCTAAAATTGTATGAAAAAGTCAGTCAGCATTTGACTTCATGATAAATTGTTTTTGCTTTCAAGGTCATTATATCGACCATAGAACTTGCGAAATGATGACTTTAAACGAGACTGCTGATATTCTTGTTTCATCAACATGCCTGTCAATAACCTACCTCATTTTAGAAATTGTTCATACGTAGAGCATGAATTTGCATATCGAATCAACGGAGAGATATAAATCCCGTATGCGGGTGATGAAAGTAAATTGCTGCATAACTAATGGAAGTTGACGATTGAAAAATTAAAGTCATCTCACGTTTATCATAAAGCTTGGTTGTTTGATTTCCATTAACACCTTTTTCAAGTAAAATAACTAAATATGTAACAGATGTCTTAGACTTCGAGGAATCTTTTATTTTAACTTTATCGGGATATATATGTGTGGTATCAACAAAGATTGAAATAACCATTGTTTATTGACAATACGTTGTCGATATATCAAAATGCCGAATTGAAGGACACAGTAAGTGTTCTCTTCTTTTCACGTACAAGATTTTGAACAAATCGTGCTTCATATGAATGTACAATGTACAAATAATTCCAAGAGATTGTTGGAAGTCTTGGTTTTCAAAAATCACATAGATATTGTCAATAAGAAACTGAAGCACTTAATCAATTTAAGAATACTCGTTTGTACAATAATAATGTGTGTTTTAAGGTACTCTGATCCTCAGGTTCTAAAAATCAGGCGTTGGCTAATTGAAAATGCTCACAAAATATCTCAGAATTCTCAAAGTAATGTGTTTTTACCCATGATAATTTTTCATAGTTTAAAGTAATTCAAATTTATGTTGTTTGTTGGTGATATTTAAAAAAAAATCAAAACTGACATGATTTTGAAGAATTTGCTCCTTAGAAAGGAGACTATATGTGTAATGGAATACCGTATGTGGAGATAAAGAACAATATTCTAGCTCAAATGTCCATTAAAATTACAAAATAGGAGCGAAGCAAACACGGACCTCCAAAACATCAGAGGTGGGTCTGGTGCCATGGAGAAGTGAGCATCCCCTGCCGACCGGTCACATCCGCCGTTTGCTCCTTGTCATGATCGGAAAAAAGCGGAAAAAATACGTGGACAACTCGGTGTGTAAATAATGGCCTAACAATCTGTATGAAAAATGTCAGTCAGCACTTGACTTAATGATAAATTGTATTTGCTGACAAGATCATTATATCGACCATAGAACTTACAAAATGATGACTTTAAACAAGACTGCTTATATAAGTGGACTATCATGAGTAGAATTAAATCAAAGTACCTCTAAAATACAACTAGATGCCGTCATGAGACAGTAATACCCGCACTAAGGTGTTTGCCTCTAAATGCACACTCCTCTAAAATTAGGCTTTACCAAAGAAAAAGTCAATATAATTTAATAATTTACATAATAGGGCCTCCATGTATTCATCAAATTGAGCATAATATTCTCAAGTGAACATGTGACCCGTCACCATGGGCCTCGATCTTATAGGTACATGTATTTCATATTCATAATTCATTACCAGTCTGAAATTAAACAACAGAATTCAATTAATGATGTAAATTAGGTTTGAAACAAGGGGGGGGGGGTAAATTTTTGGCCCATAATTGGAACTTTTTAAATCTATTTTCTCATATAGATCAACAACAAATATTATTCAAATTAGTTTAAAGCGTTTTTGATGATTTTTTCCAAAATGTACAAACTTTTTTTTATACTTGATTAGGCAGAAACACCTTGAAAGCTGCCATATACCATTTATACCCAATCAATTTAGTCAACCCCCACCCTTCTCCCATCAACACACACACGCGCAAACACACCCTATTTTCCTGTTTTTGGAAATAGGCCTAGATGGCAAAGTTAAGATAAAACATCTTTTGTAAATAATAATTTTAAATTTGTTCTTATACTGTAAATGTATCTGAAGACCTGCATCACATTGGGCTTGCGTCACGTACCTAACTTAAGTACTAGTTTTACCATTATCATTTTTAGATAGCACTGCACGTGCAGTACTAGGCCTAGTGTTGTGTACACATCATTGCATGTATGTCAGTTGGAATTATTTTGTGTTTAATTGGATTATATTTCATGAAGTTGGAGCTATGGCAGTCGGTAAGTACACGTTTTGGTATAGATTTGGGTAAAATAGTCTGAAATGCAACTGTTAGGTTAAAGTTTAAAGGATCAAAGGTCATCCGATGCTGCAATAAGACGAATTTCACATTCTAAAGAGTTATCGCCCGTTATCGACGTTACATTCAGTTACAAAATACAGAATTTTTTTCTGAGAGGGAGGGGGGACTTCCAGACCAGAATTTTCTGAGAAGCAAATAAAAGGAGAAGTTATGGTGGTGTCTGTTTTCTAGGGTGGAGGGCATCCAGTCTTTTTTATATTATAGTCCTGCTGCAAATTCGGGGGGGGGGGGGATCTCAAGATACACTTCCAGTCCCTGTAAACAGTAATGGCAAATGATCATCTGACTCCTAAATAGTAGGAAACTTTTTCCATTTGACAATACATAATTTTGCGCTTTTTGTGTTATTATGTTATGTAAATTTAATGGTATAAAGGTTTTGAACCCCCTGGAGGTCATCCCCACTCTCCTAATGA